CCAGATCGAGGGAGATTATCAGTGGTCTTGTATGTCTTCCATTTCCTAATAATTGCTCCCACAGTTGATTTCTTCAAACCAAGCTGCTTACCTATTGCAGATTCAGTCTTCCCAGCCTGGTGCAGGTCTACAATTTTGTTTTTGGTGTCCTTTGACAGCTCTTTGGTCTTGGCCATTGTGAAGTTTGGAGTGTGACTGTTTGAGGTTGTGGACAGGTGTCCTTTTATACTGATAAACAAGTTCAAACAGGTTGCCATTAATACAGGTAAACGAGTGGAGGACAGAGGAGCCTCTGAAAGAAGAAGTTACAGGTCTGTGAGAGCCAGAAATCTTGCTTGTTTGTAGGTGACCAAATACTTATTTTCCACCATAATTTGCAAATAAATTCATAAAAATCCTACAATGGGATTTTCTGGATTTTTTTTTCCTCAATTTGTCTGTCATAGTTGACGTGTACCTATGATGAAAATTACAGGCCTCTCTCATCTTTTTAAGTGGGAGAACTTGCACAATTGGTGGCTGACTAAATACTTTTTTTTCCCACTGTACATACAGAGGCCCATTATCAGCAACCATCAGTCCTGTGTTCCAATGGCACACTGTGTTTGCTAATCCAAGTTTATCATTTTAAAAGGCTAATTGATCATTAGAAAACCCTTTTGCAATTACGTTAGCACAGCTGAAAACTGTTGTGCTGATTAAAGAAACAATACAACTGGCCTTCTTGAGACTAGTTGAGTATCTGGAGCATCAGCAATTGTGGGTTCGATTACAGAATCAAAATGGCCAGAAACAAATAACTTTCTTCTGAAACTCGTCCGTCTATTCTTATTCTGAGAAATTAAGGCTATTCCATGCGAGAAATTGCCAAGAAACTGAAGATCTCGTATAACGCTGTGTACTACTCCCTTCACAGAACATCTCAAACTGGCTCTAACCAGAATAGAAAGAGGAGAGGGAGGCCCCGGTGCACAACTGAGTAAGAGGACAAATACATTAGAGTGTCTAGTTTGAGAAACAGACGCCTCACAGGTCCTCAACTGGCAGCTTCATTAAATAGTACCCGAAAAACACCAGTCTCAACGTCAACAGCGAATAGGCATCTCCAGGATGCTGATTTTCTAGGCAGAGTTGCAAAGAAAAAGCCATATCTCAGACTGGCCAATAAAAATAAAATATTAAGATGGGCAAAAGAATACAGACACTGGACAGCGGAAGATTGGAAAAAAATGTTATGGACAGACGAATCGAAGTTTGAGGAGTTCAGATCACAAAGAATAACATTTGTGAGACGCAGACCAAATGAAAAGATGCTGGAGGAGTGCTTGATGCCATCTGTCAAGCATGGTGGAGGCAATGTGATGGTCTGGGGGTGCTTTGGTGGTGGTAAAGTGGGAGATTTGTACAGGGTAAAAGGGATCTTGAAGAAGGAAGGCTATCACTCCATTTTGCAACGCCATGCCATACCCTGTGGACGGCGCTTGATTGGAGCCAATTTCCTCCTACAACAGGACAATGACCCAAAGCACAGCTCCAAACTATGCAATAACTATTTAGGGAAGAAGCAGTGAGCTGGTATTCTGTCTATAATGGAGTGGCCAGCACAGTCACCGGATCTCAACCCTATTGAGCTGTTGTGGGAGCAGCTTGACCGTATGGTACGTAAGAAGTGCCCATCAAGCCAATCCAACTTGTGGGAGGTGCTTCAGGAAGCATGGGGTGAAATCTCTTCAGATTACCTCAACAAATTGACAACTAGAATGCCAAAGGTCTGCAAGGCTGTAATTGCTGCAAATGGAGGATTCTTTGACCAAAGCAAAGTTTGAAGGACACAATTATTTATATTAAAAATCATTATTTCCAACCTTGTCAATGACTACATTTGCTATGCATTTTGCTATATATCCTATTCAAACTCATTTCATGTAAGTTTTCATGGAAAACAAGGACATTTCTAAGTGACCCCAAACTTTTGAACGGTAGTGTACATTCAGCAGTCCATTAATCAATTGGTGTGTGTGTGTGTGCTGTGAGATTGAAGCTACGAACCCATAGGCTTGGCTTGATGACAGCTTTGCACACTCTTGGCATTCTCTCAACCAGCTTCATGAGGTAGTCACCTGGAATGCATTTCACTTAACAGGTGTGCCTTCTTAAAAGTGAATTTGTGGAATTTCTTTCCTTTTTAATGTGTTTGAGCCAATCAGTTATGTTGTGACAAGGTATACAGAATGTAGCCCTATTTAGTAAAAGACCAAGTCCATATTATGGCAAGAACAGCTCAAATAATCAAAGAGAAACGACAGTGCATCATTACTTTAAGACATGACGGTCAGTCAATACGGAACATTAAGAACTTTGAAAGTTTCTTCAAGTGCAGTCGCAAAAACCATCAAGCGCTATGATGAAACTGGCTCTCATGAGGACCGCCACAGGAATGGAAGACCCAGAGTTACCTCTGCTGCAGAGGATAAGTTCATTAGAGTTACCAGCCTCAGAAATTGCAGCCCAAATAAATGCTTCACAGAGTTCAAGTAACAGACACATCAACATCAACTGTTCAGAGGGGACTGTGTGAATCAGGCCTTCATGGTCGAATTGCTGCAAAGAAACCACTACTAAAGGACACCAATAAGAAGAAGAGACCAGATTGGGCCAAGAAACACGAGCAATGGACATTAGACCGGTAGACATTTGTCGTTTGGTGCTTTGATGGTGACACTGTCTGTGATTTATTTAGAATTCAAGGCACACTTAACCAGCATGGCTACCACAGCATTCTTCAGCCATATGCCATCCCATCTGGTTTGGGCTTAGTGGGACTATCATTTGTTTTTCAACAGGACAATGACCCAACACACCTCCAGGCTGTGTAAGGGCTATTTGACCAAGAAGGAGAGTGATGGAGTGCTGCATCAGATGACCTAGCCTCCGCAATCCCCCGACCTCAACCCAATTGAGATGGTTTGGGATGAGTCGGACGGCAGAGTGAAGGAAAAGCAGCCAACAAGTGCTCAGCATATGTGGGAACTCCTTCAAGACTGTTGGAAAAGCATTCCAAGTGAAGCTGGTTGAGGGAATGCCAAGAGTATGCAAAGCTGTCATCAAGGCAAAGGGTGGCTATATGAAGAATCTCAAATCTCAAATATAATATTTATTTGTTTAACACTTTTTTGGTTACTACATGATTCCATATGTGTTATTTCATAGTTTTGATGTCTTCACTATTATTCTACAATGTAGTAGAAATAGTAAAAAATAAAGAAAAACCCTTGAATGAGTACGTGTGACCAAACTTTTAATAGATGTTTATTTATTCCAAAGAGACCTTTACATATAGCTACTTCCATGCATTCATTTATACACAAGCATGCAAATAATGCAACAAGTGCACTCGATAACAGTCTATTACTAACATACAGAAGAAGTGTTAGGCAAAACCAACACAAAATAAACAAAAAATAGTTTTTTTCATTAAAAATGTTTAAATAGCTTATTTTCAGTTTGGTAATTTGCCTCTAAATTGCAACCACATTCATAAAGTGCATTCGGAAAGTATTCAGACCCCTTGACCTTTTCCACATTCTGTTACGTTACAGCCTTATTCTAAAATTGATTAAATTAATGTTTTTCCTCATCAAGCTTTACACAATGCCCCATAATGACAAAGTGAAAACAGGTTTTTTGAAATTTTTGCAAATGTATAAAACATTTAAAACAGAAATACCTTATTTACATAAGTATTCAGACCGTTTGCTATGACACTCAACATTGAGCTCAGGTGCATCCTGTTTACATTGATCATCCTTGAGATGTTTCTACAACTTCATTGGAGTCCACCTGTGGTAAATACAATTGATTGGACATGATTTGGAAAGGCAAATACCTGTCTATATAAGCGCATGTCAGAGCAAAAACCAAGCCATGAGGTCGAAGGAATTGTCCGTAGAGCTCAGAGACAGGATTGTGTCGAGGCACAGATCTGGGGAAGGGTACCCAAACATTCTGTAGCATTGAAGGTCCCCAAGAACACAGTGGCCTCCATCATTCTTAAATGGAATACGTTTGGAACCACCAAGACTCTTCCTAGAGCTGGCCGCCCGGCCAAACTGAGCAATCGGGGGAGAAGGGCCTTGGTCAGGGAGGTGACCAAGAACCCGATGGTCACTCTTGACAGAGCTCCAGAGTTCCATCTCTACAGCACTCCACAAATCAGGCCTTTATGGTAGAGTGGGCAGATGGAAGGCACTCCTCAGTAAAAGGCACATGACAGCCAGCTTGGAGTTTGCCAAAAGGCACCTAAAGACCCTCAGACCATGAGAAATAAGATTCTCTGGTCTGATGAAACCAATATTGAACTCTTTGGCCTGAATGCCAAGCGTCACGTCTGGAGGAAACCTGGCACCATCCCTACGGTGAAGCATGGTGGTGGCAGAATCATGCTGTGGGGATGTTTTTCAGTGGCAGGGACTGGGAGACTAGTCAGCATCGAGGGAAAGATTAATGGAGCAAAGTAGAGAGATCCTTGATGAAAACCTGCTCAGGACCTCAGACTGGAGCGAAGGTTAAACTTCCAACAGGACAATGACACTAAGCACACATCCAAGACAACGCAGGAGTGGCTTCGGGACAAGTCTCTGAATGTCCTTGAGTGGCCAAGCAAGAGCCTGGACTTGAACCTGATCAAACATCTCTGGAGAGACCTGAAAATAGCTGTGCAGCAACGCTCCCCATCCAACCTGACAGAGCTTGAGAGGATCTGCAGAGAAGAATGGGAGAAACTCCCCAAATACAGGTGTGCCAAGCTTGTAGCGTCATACCCAAGAAGACTCGAGGCTGTAATCTCTGCCAAAGGTGCTTCAACAAAGTACTGAGTAAAGGGTCTGAATACTTATGTAAATATGATATTTCAATTTATCTTAAATACATTTGCAAAAATGTCAAAATACCTGTTTTTGCTTTGTCATTATGAGGTATTATGTGTAGATTGATGAGGGGGAAAAAAAACAATTTAATCCATTTTAGAATAAGGCTGTAACGTAACAAAATGTGGAAAAAGTCAAGGGGTCTGAATACTTTCCGAATGCACTGTATGGCCAAAGGGCAATGGGGACAGGACTAGAAAAGTGGACAATGGATGAAAAGACAAGGACCAGCTCCAAACAGAGAGAGAGTCAAATAAAGACAGAATTCCTTCTGTAATCACCAAGAAACACAACTAGGCTGCATAAATGGTCACACACAGATCATACACTCACAATGCATTTAGGAAATCACTTTAAGTGTCTGTAAACTTTAAACCATTAGGGAGAAGGATCCATCACAACATTAGCCGATTCCTTTGGCCTTGCAGAGAGTGACGTCCCCTCTTTCTCCTACTCCTCTTCCTCCGTCATACTCCAGGCCTCCTCTGCTTTCATATAGTACTGGTTGGCCAGTCGGCCCTTCATTGCTTCCATGGCTGCATCTGCTGCCTCTGTGAACAGATCACCTGGGTCAGAGAGAGAGAGAGTCTGTGGTTAGTTACTGTAAGTACAACAGAGGTTATCACACTGAGGGCTCAAGTTAGGATTTTAGGGTTCTAGTTCTAGGGTTCTAGTTCTAGGATTCTAGTTCTAGGGTTCTAGTTCTAGGTTCAGGTGTGGTTCTGTCTGCTGTCTTACCTGCTCTCTGTGGGTCTGGGTCCAGGCCGTGGCCGCCCTCCTCGTACATCTCAGCCTCTCTGGCCAGCAGCAGGTAGGGAGGCTCGTCCTGCATGCCGTCAAACTCGCCCCCCTCGTCATAGTCCGTCATGTTCAGGGCACAGTCGTACCAGCTCACCGCCTCCTTCCAGTCCTGGGACCTGAGAACCACAGAGAAGGTTTTTATAGGTTTTTTATGAAGAAGGACTTTTCATTAAACATTATTTTCACAGTCCTCATATACTCGGTGTCTTGGGGGGTCTCTATTAGTTTTATTTGTGTAATCTGTATCGTTCTGGGTTGATAGCTTCTCATAATAGATGGTCCCATCATTAGTTGATATCTGATATGTCCCTCCAGTCTCTGACCTGTCTGGTGAGAGGTTGATGCCGGTGTCGAAGGCCCTGGCCACCAGGATCATACAGGATCTGTCTCCTGCCTCAGCAGCCTGCAGCAGGAACTTAAAGCCCTTCATACGGCTCCCTGAGTTGTCCTGATGACAAGACAACAACATACAGCATGGAATTACAACATAGAGAAGGAGTCAAAAGACACATTGTGTATTAGAGAGAAAGAGAGAGGGGGAGAGAGATAGAGAGAGATACAGTAGATAGAGAAATACCTCTAGCTCCATCTCTGACAGTATATGGTGTGGCAGCTGTAGGTAACACTGTCCCAGGGCAACGATAGCCTCTAGTTCCCCACACATGGCTGCTGTCTCCAGGTGGTACATGGCTGAGTCCTGGTCCCGCTGCTCCTCCTTCTCACAGAACCGACCAGCCTCGTGGTAACTCACCATCGCCAGGTGGACCTGGGGGAGAGGCAAGAGGAGATATATTGTGTGTTTTTAGTGTGTGTGTGTGTGTGTTTATATGTGCTTGCGCGAGTGTTCCAGCCACTCACTTTCCCCAGGATGGACTTTCCGATCTTCCTCTCCAGGATCAGTGAGTCGAGTCTCTCCATCTCCACAGCAACACAGGACGGCCGGTGGACATGAGAACGAGACGAGTGGTAGACGCTCCATTTCTCATCGGTCAGCTGGGCAGACAGAGAGCATAGGAAAGGGCAATGAAGCACTGTATATGTAGCAATCCTTGTTCATAGTAACAACTCAAGCCTCAACTTGTACATATCTGACTTAGCACTAATGCTAATCATACTCCAGGTATGCAGTGAGAGACAGAACAGGCAGTTACAGACTTATTGATTGGTTAGGTGATTTGATCAGGGAGGGGGCAGGTGAAAATGTTGACATGGAGAGGCCAAACAAGGACACACATGGAATAAGACCAAAACACAGGGCGGCTGCTGAGTTTGTGTTCCCTTTCTTGGGTGCACTCAAACCTTTGCCCCTACTAAGCATGCATCTTTAGAAAACAAGCATGAGTCAAATCAACAGCTGACACGGTGCAACGTCAGTGCTCCACCCTGCATAGGAAGAGGCCTGGGTTAGACCCCTTCATGCAGAGGCCGGGGAATCACCTGTTGGCTGTTGGGGGTGTTCCCGGCAAGATAATTTATGTTTGGGTTAAGGGAGGAACTGCTGGGAATCTTCCTCTAGCAAGGAGACAAACACAGCAGCAAGAACTCCGTTAGCTTTCAGTTATCTAATGGATGGAGGCATAGATTAGATATCAGGAACACTACACTTGTGAGCAAGGGGTAGGGGGCGACAGAGGGATGAGCACGGGGTTATTTGATTATAGCGAAGGTGGCTTTGATGATTATGATGATGGTAATTTATTTTGGCCTTTATTTTGTTTACCCGTCTGACGCTGTCTTTGTCCGACTCAGAGTAGTGTCTGCTGTAGCGGTGGGGGCGGGCCTACATGGTGACATCATACAGTATAAAACCTACTGTCTAAGAGGCCATAAACTGAGCTAAAGAGGGGGCAAGGTTCACACTCACATAGCTATACAGAGGGTAATAGCTATACAGAGGGCTTTTGCTGTTGGGGCGTCAACAGAGAATCCATGTCAGGTGGCTCAGTTGGTAAAGCATGGCACTTCCAACACCAGGGTCGTGGGTTCGATTCCCACAGGGTACCAGTATGTAAATGTATGCACTCGGTACTGTAAGTTGCTCTGGATATGAGCGTCTGCTAAATGACTAAAATGTAAATGGGGAGTGAACAATAACTTTGGTGTCAGCTATAAACAATACAAGACTAAAGAGGAAGTAGTTGACGGTTTCCATAAAGTATTTATGACTGACAGGCTGACCAAGACTGAGTGTTGGTGTAGAGAAGAGTAATGTACCCCGTCTGCATGGTCATTGGGGTCCCCTTCGCTCCTCCTCTCACTTGGACACCCACTGTCTCCTCCATTCTCTGAGTCCTACAGAAAACAAGCACAGCCCTCAGTATATATCAACCATTACTAATGTCATTCTTGTGACAAAGCCACAAAGCCTTCACTGACCATGAGTTCTGGGCTGTGGCAGCGGTTGTTGTTGTGGTTGTGTGTCTCCCGTTCATCCATCTCATTTACGAAAGACCAACCTGAGGGTGGGAAACCAGATGTTCGATTAGAATAAACATTTTAATGGCTGATAATAAATTTTTAAAAAGGAAAGAGTTTAAGTAGTTAAACCATAGCTCAAACAGAGCCCTTGTTCATTCAACCTCTAGTCTAAGGTATCAAATAACATAACACTGTTTAGTCCGTTTTTAATGGGGCTTCAGGCATGCTATTTGGAACGTCATGCTAATGCTGGGCTGCAGCTTAGAAAACAAACCCAGATGTTGGGTCACTGGCTTTACAGGCCCACAGATAACCTTCTAGATTAACATAAAATTAGATACATTTGTAATTTGGGTGAACTATTCCCTCTATGCCCTGTTCCTACCAAGAGGAGACTTGCCCATGGAGCCCATAGAGAAGTGCTCTCCTAGCGGGGAGCCGGGGAAGACGAGAGGCGAGCAGGGGTTGGAGTCACTTATAGTGTCGTTCCCGGTCGAGGTCTCTGACAGACGGGAGAGAAGTGGGGGCGCACGGCCCACTGAGATGGTACGAACACGAGCTGAACCACACTGTTCCTCACTACCCCTCAGTACCGTCTGGGCCGACCTCTGATTGGAGGGGAGGGTTGAAAATATTGTTAAAGATGAGGACTAAATGACAATTCTAAATAGCTGCATACATCTTGGGCCTGTAGTGAAATCATTTCCCAGGTCGTATGTGCTGATATAATTTCTGTGGTAATACGATGGCTGTGTCTACAACTAGGGTGATATGTGATGCTATGTGTCATCGGCCTCACCCATATGTGTCATCAGCCTCAAGCCCTTTGATTCTAGTTCAATATATTTATATGGTCTCACCAGCAGTCTGTTGGTGCAGTCCAGCTGGCGTTTCTCTGCAGTGGAGAGGTCAAAGGGTGTGAGGCCCATACTCTTACAGATCTTATTACACAGGTGGGAGTGGAAGAACAGCGCCATGCCCCGCACACCTGTAACACACACACACACACACACAAGTACGTTGCAATCTATTTGAAAGTCTTTCGCTAGGTGGGTCACAACTGAAAATGTCAGTCTACCTCATTGTGTTGCTAACAGTGTGACTGTGTGAGAGAAAGCCGTACCCAGGTTTCCGTTTCCAAAGTCTTTGCCCTTCTCTGTGTGGATCTGGGGGTCCGTATAGAGGTCCCCCACCCCCTGGATGTCCACCACGATCAGCTGGTGGGCTGAACGCTCAAATGAGAAGTGACTGAATGCCTGCAGGCAGAGTTACCAGCAGACAACGAAAAGATGGTGGTTTACAGGCATTAAGAAAAGGTTGCAAGTTCACACACAGAACAAATAAAAAATAATTCAATTGAAAAATCTAGCATCAATTCATAACAAAGATGAAGATGCATCATTGGGTTCTGCAGCTCAGGAGTAATCCATAAAGTTGGCCAACACATTTACAGCAGTAACACACACTGTACCTGTGGAGTGAACCTGATGTTGTCGTCCTAGACGAAGCTGTACCTGTGGAGTGAGCGTGATGTTGTCGTCCTTGACGAAGCTGTACCTGTGGAGTGAGCGTGATGTTGTCATCCTTGACGAAGCTGTACCTGTGGAGTGAGCGTGATGTTGTCGTCCTTGACGAAGCTGTACCTGTGGAGTGAGCGTGATGTTGTCGTCCTTGACGAAGCTGTACCTGTGGAGTGAGCGTGATGTTGTCGTCCTTGACGAAGCTGTACCTGTGGAGTGAGCGTGATGTTGTCGTCCTTGACGAAGCTGTACCTGTGGAGTGAGCCTGCTGTTGTCATCCTTGACGAAGCTGCACCTGTGGAGTGAGCCTGCTGTTGTCATCCTTGACGAAGCTGCACCTGTGGAGTGAGCCTGCTGTTGTCGTCCTTGACGAAGCTGTACCTGTGGAGTGAGCCTGCTGTTGTCATCCTTGACGAAGCTGTACCTGTGGAGTGAGCGTGATGTTGTCATCCTTGACGAAGCTGTACCTGCGGAGTGAGCGTGATGTTGTCGTCCTTGACGAAGCTGTACCTGTGGAGTGAGCCTGCTGTTGTCATCCTTGACGAAGCTGTACCTGTGGAGTGAGCGTGATGTTGTCGTCCTTGACGAAGCTGTACCTGTGGAGTGAGGCTGCTGTTGTCGTCCTTGACGAAGCTGTACCTGTGGAGTGAGCCTGCTGTTGTTAACCTTGACGGAGCTGTACCTGTGGAGTGAGCCTGCTGTTGTCATCCTTGACGAAGCTGCACCTGTGGATGAGCCTGCTGTTGTCGTCCTTGACGAAGCTGTACCTGTGGAGTGAGCCTGCTGTTGTCGTCCTTGACGGAGCTGTACCTGTGGAGTGAGCCTGCTGTTGTCATCCTTGACGAAGCTGCACCTGTGGAGTGAGCCTGCTGTTGTCATCCTTGACGAAGCTGTACCTGTGGAGTGAGCGTGATGTTGTCGTCCTTGACGAAGCTGTACCTGTGGAGTGAGCCTGCTGTTGTCGTCCTTGACGACGCTGTACCTGTGGAGTGAGCGTGATGTTGTTGTCCTTGACGAAGCTGTACCTGTGGAGTGAGCCTGATGTTGTCGTCCTTGACGAAGCCGGAGTTGGAGTTGTATTTGGTGTACTTCCCCTCGATGTAGTGTTCCAGGTGGTACAGAGGTTTACCTGGACGCTGCATCATTTCAATCACACACATCTGCATGATGTCCACCTGGGAGGGAGGGAGGGAGAGAGAGAGAGAGAGAGAGAGAATGGTTCGTTTCATTGTTAGAAAATTGTGGAAAATCTACAATCACGTCATTCATCTAATCAATCAATCGACCAATCAACTGGATGACTCATTGGATAATTAAATGTTCCATCCATACCTGCTTGGGTGGCCTGTGGCGGTTGTACTCTTCTCCCCAGAGTTTGGCCTCCATCTGCAGCCGGACATCCTCAAAGTACACATCCCTGTCCACAGGCTCCATGTAGCGCTTTGTCACATAGTTACACGCACTCTTCCAGTTACTACTGTGGGAGAAGTTAGACAGCTTCTTCCTGCAGAAAGATGGAAAGGAAATATGGAAAAAATATATCGAAGATTAGAAGAATGGCACTGTACTAAAATGACATGAACATTTAAATGAGTAGATCCGGAAGAATGTTAGTTGAGTATCAGAATGACATAAACTAAGGTGAAAAACTCCTAAGGGTTTGAGTTGCGTATCTCTTGGGCATTGTGTATTTTTGCTGATAAACCATTAACATGTTTTCTATGGTGAGAACTGGTGTGTGGGCTTGTTAGTGGGTGAGGGTTTATTTTCTCTCTGTGGGAGGCATGGACTGCCAGTGGTCTGATATACAGTGGGGAGAACAAGTATTTGATACACTGCCGATTTTGCAGGTTTTCCTACTTACAAAGCATGTAGAGGTCTGTAATTTTTATCACAGGTACACTTCAACTGTGAGAGACGGAATCCAGAAAATCACATTGTATGATTTTTAAGTAATTCATTTGCATTTTATTGCATGACATAAGTATTTGATACATCAGAAAAGCAGAACTTAATATTTGGTACAGAAACCTTTGTTTGCAATTACAGAGATCATTCGTTTCCTGTAGGTCTTGACCAGGTTTGCACACACTGCAGCAGGGATTTTGGCCCACTCCTCCATACAGACCTTCTCCAGATCCTTCAGGTTTCGGGGCTGTCGCTGGGCAATACGGACTTTCAGCTCCCTCCAAAGATGTTCTATTGGGTTCAGGTCTGGAGACTGGCTAGGCCACTCCAGGACCTTGAGATGCTTCTTATGGAGCCACTCCTTAGTTGCCCTGGCTGTGTGTTTCGGGTCATTGTCATGCTGGAAGACCCAGCCACGACCCATCTTCAATGCTCTTACTGAGGGAAGGAGGTTTTTGGCCAAGATCTCGCGATACATGGCCCCTTCCATCCTCCCCTCAATACGGTGCAGTCGTCCTGTCCCCTTTGCAGAAAAGCATCCCTAAAGAATGATTTTTCCACCTCCATGCTTCACGGTTGGGATGGTGTTCTTGGGGTTGTACTCATCCTTCTTCTTCCTCCAAACACGGCGAGTGGAGTTTAGACCAAAAAGCTCTATTTTTGTCTCATCAGACCACATGACCTTCTCCCATTCCTCCTCTGGATCATCCAGATGGTCATTGGCAAACTTCAGACGGGCCTGGACATGCGCTGGCTTGAGCAGGGGGACCTTGCGTGCGCTGCAGGATTTTAATCCATGACGGCGTAGTGTGTTACTAATGGTTTTCTTTGAGACTGTGGTCCCAGCTCTCTTCAGGTCATTGACCAGGTCCTGCCGTGTAGTTCTGGGCTGATCCCTCATCTTCCTCATGATCATTGATGCCCGCATGGAGCCCCAGACCGAGGGTGATTGACCGTCATCTTGAACTTCTTCCATTTTCTAATAATTGCGCCAACAGTTGTTGCCTTCTCACCAAGCTGCTTGCCTATTGTCCTGTAGCCCATCCCAGCCTTGTGCAAGTCTACAATTTTAACCCTGATGTCCTTACACAGCGCTCTGGTCTTGGCCATTGTGGAGAGGTTGGAGTCTGTTTGATTGAGTGTGTGGGCAGGTGTCTTTTATACAGGTAACGAGTTCAAACAGGTGCAGTTAATACAGGTAATGAGTGGAGAACAGGAGGGCTTCTTAAAGAAAAACTAACAGGACTGTGAGAGCCGGAATTCTTACTGGTTGGTAGGTGATCAAATACTTATGTCATGCAATAAAATGCAAATGAATTACTTAAAAATCATACAATGTGATTTTCTGGATTTTTGTTTTAGATTCCGTCTCTCACAGTTGAAGTGTATCTATGATAAAAATTACAGACCTCTACATGCTTTGTAAGTAGGAAAACCTGCAAAATCGGCAGTGTATCAAATACTTGTTCTCCCCACTGTAGACAGGATGAATACAGAAAGAGATCGCATCATAATAAGGACACAATATGAATAATATCCCAGTTGCCTACAGCTGCGAACATCAGGCTAGACCAGAGTAATGTACTACATACAGAGTTCAGCAAAATCAGTTTGAGATAGAGAACTCTACTGGGTGCCATGTTGGCATGAAAAGTTTGAGAATTGAGAATGTGAATTAGAATGTTGTAGTCATGGAATGTTTGTTTCTGTCTAGGGATCTATCTATGGCTCTAAGCTGGACTAAATGGATCTGGGTCTGAGAGAGAGATTTGTGGAATGTGGATTGGGGACCTGAGCAGCTTGTACAGTCTGGTCATTTTGTTTACACTGCATTAAGAGGAAAGCTCACACGGCTCTGAAACTAGCTGAACTAGCAGGAACAAAGGGCCAAAAGCCTCCGAAATAAGAAACCAGGACGTATGGAGAACATTATTAAAGATACAGTGTGTGAGACTTACGTTCTGAAGCATTCCCTCATGGCCCCGCGTCCAAAAGGCTGTGAGAAACCATAAAGACAAATCAATAATTCCTGAGAAACTCAATCAACTCACCAAGCTTTTGAAAACGTTCACATTCATGTAAACTGTGTTACTACATTCCACATACATATCCACGAGTCCAACAATGTTCTGATGAATAATAACATAGATTACTGATGATTTAGGAGTTGTGGCATACCTGGCCAGACATCTTGATGTGCACTGTGTCTTGAGACCACTCCGCCGTGATCGCATTGTACCTGAGGAAAGATTAAGCAAATCACATTCACCAAACATTGATCAAACATGATTATTCCATTCTATATGGGCCAGAATTCTGGACTTGTCTAAGCAATATTGTGATGACTAGAAAGTAGAAAATGTAACTTTGGCCACATTGCTCCATATACTGAAGGGGTCGGGGTTAGAACAAGGGGACTGAAAATAGAAACAGACAAACATTAGAGTCCTTGGATTTGTTCTGAACAGGACCTGCTCTGCGTATCCTCAAATAGTCCAAATATAGTTATCCATAGCCTGAAAATAGTCTAATCTATGATGTCACGTACCCCAGGATCAAAAAGGGTTGTGAGATATTCCCTTGGTTTGGTGATGTTCAACGTCCAAGCCCCAAAGACCCTGTGGCGGACAGATCTGTGGTAATAGTCCCTTATTCTTGTGTGGTTACCAAAGACAAACTCAACAAATGGGCCTACTTTGTACTGTGTTCAGTGGGAATGCCATTATCACCCATGTGAACTTGACGTTACATGTCATAATCAATTCTCACCATTGGGACCATTAACAGTTTGTAGGGTTCCTTCTCTACACTAGATCTGACCTTAGGGGGAGAATTTCAAACACACTGTATGTACAGATTATGAATGCTTGGCTTGTCTGAGACTGGGTCAGCCATACACACTGATAAGACACATAGCAGATCCAGAGGCTAAATATTTACACAGTCTGTCCTGCCCTGCCAAGCATATGTGGTCCTCTGTAGCTCAATTGGTAGAGCATGGCGCTTGTAACGCCAGGGTAGTGGGTTCGATCCCCGGGACCACCCATACGTAAAAATGTATGCACACATGACTGTAAGTCGCTTTGGATAAAAGCATCTGCTAAATGGCATATTATTATTATTACCATGGGTTTTATTCCAGTCAGGAGTCAGCCACTGCTATTGGGGGCATGGGACAGGAAGATGGCACCATGCCATTGGCTAAGAGACCAGAGAGGCTTAGGTAGCGTGAGGTTCCGACTAGAGCTGTCCGACAGTCACGAGTCATGACCACAACCAAATTCCACTTGTCACGTTAACTAGCCTTCTCCAAAACTGTGCTCTGATGCCGCTGATGGTCATTAGTAACCTACCAAACTTGCTAATGGCCTGGTACTCAGCGCTCTACTGTCCCTCTAATCACTCTGACATCAATGCAAATGCACTCGAATACCAAATCAAACACTTCATGAGAGGCCTGGCATTCAGAGTTTGAGCGGAATAGGATCACCTGTTACTCAGCGAGAGCCAGCTCCTCATAGCTTGATGCATGGAATGAAATAAGTGTTCCTATAAGCCCATGTTCCACAACATTTCTATATGCTATGCAATTGCGTGAGAAAACAGAGTTTTAAATGGCCTCTATTAAAATGAGGAGGATCCCATCAGCTTTTTATAGGCTTACTTTATTTATTTCTCAACTTCCCTAATATTAAGCACATTTACAACAGGAGAAGCCTACCTGGTTGGCATGAAAATGAACCGCGGGAAGTCCTTTATTCGCTATTCAAGTGCATACGGATGACATGAGTGGCGTAGTGGTCTAAGGCACTGCATCGCAGTGCTAACTGTGCCACTAGAGATCCTGGTTCGAATCCAGGCTTTGTTGCAGCCGGGCCACGACCGGGAGACTCATGGGCGGCGCACAATTGGCCCAGCGTCGTCCAGGGTAGGGGAGGGAATGGCCGGCAGGGATGTAGCTCAGTTGATAGAGCATGGCGTTTGCAACGCCAGGGTTGTGGGTTCGATTCCCACGGGGGGCCAGTATAAAAAAAAATATGTATTCACTAACTGTAAGTCGCTCTGGATAAGAGCGTCTGCTAAATGACTAAAATGTCAAATGTAAATGTAATGTCTTTTTCCCCTGCCCCTGTTCTGACAGATGCATGATAATGGTCCATTCTAAATGAAAACTAATTTCACACATATATTATTTAGTATATGTAAAGACAAGATTACATTGAGAATAGTGTGATGGGTGAGATAATATTCTAAGGCAAGAAACAGCACTTTTTCAAATCATATTCACATACATCATGTAGCCTAGCCCATAGGCCTATATGTTTTGATAAGGTTTGTATCACAACTAAAGTGGCCAAATAACTAAGCATAGCCTGTAGGCCTAGGACCTCTGGAACACGGTTGGAGAGCCCATAGCCTACAGAGAGAGCCTAGTGAAACGCGAGTTCCTTATAAACCCAGTCACTGCGCAATCGCATGTGAAAACAGAGTTTTGACTGGCCAGTGGCCACTATTTAAAAGAGCATCCCATCTTTCTGGTGATGCTATATTTATTGCTAAATTCTTACAATTAAGCACATTGATCTGCTTTACAACCAGTGTAGACTACCTGGCATATTATAAACATAACCGCGGGAAGCGCTTCCTCCATTCGCTATTCAAGTGCAGGCTACGGATTACGTTTTTTTTTGTAGGCCATTCTAAATAAAAAATAACTCCACCCTCCTGTAGCTCAGTTGGTAGAGCATGGCGCTTTCAACGCCAGGGTTGTTGGTTCGATTCCCACGGGGGGCCAGTATGAAAAATGTATGCACTCACTAACTGTAAGTCGCTCTGGATAAGAGCGTCTGCTAAATGACAAAAATGTAAATATTAGCAGGCTATTTGTAAAGACAGGATTAAATTGAGAATAGTCTGATGGGTGAGAATATTATCAAGTGCTTGTCAAATTGTGAATGAGATACTGATGAAGTATGTGCAGCCTGCACAAGAAACAGAGCAGAGCGCATTCCTTTCATGCGACTTTTCTCAAAATCATCATTAGTCGCATCATGAGAGAACAGGAGTGGATCCCAACTCCAGACAACCATCTCTTCCTCCCTTTGCTCCCTATAGGCAGGGCTTTGTTATATAACACCAATAAGAGGTGAGGATTAAGACAAACAAACACAGCAAAACATGTTAGAGAATGCAGTACCCCTACTTAGCCTGCTATTATCTAGGCCGGGAGGGCCACACCTCTTTAGTTGTTTTCCTGGCTGCACTGTCTGAAGAATTTGGGCATGTTCCAGGTCATCTTTATTGCAGTCGCACTGCACAGATTATCAGATCTCACAACGCCTGGAGAAATGTTCAACCTCTCAGGAACCACACTAATGATATAGCATTATTCTAAGATGTGCAGAGTTACTGGAAAGAATATGACCTGGAATACGCCTTTTGGCTTCAGACTAAGTGTTTTAGCGTGGGCAGGCAGGCAGCCCAGATATCTGCCACAAGGGAACTTTGTGCACAGGCCAAGAAAAACTTGGAAGGCCCATTGGAAATGCAGTGATGGTTATATAATATACTGTACCTTCAGAAAGGGCAGGGGTGTGGGGATGGTGTGTATTTGTCAACAACTGTCTAAAACAGGGTAGCAGTCAAGCCCACTGACGGACACATTAATATGTACCTGTATCGTATGCATGGCTCGGTCTCGACTTCCTCCAGGTGAAACTCAGCCCAGGGATCAGGCATGGCCTTGGCCTTCTCTAAGGCTCTATTCCACGCCACCTGGGACAATGGGAAACAATACTTATCTTTTAGATAACTATCACACTGTATCACAGCTTATGCTAAGGGAAGCTACAGCCACTGGGGATACATCAATGAAACACACACAGATTAGGGATGTGACGGTCATGGAATTTTGGTTGACTGTTATTTTTAGGCTGACCAATAACCATGTTGTATTTTTTTTTAAAGATGCACATTCATGTGGTTTTCCGACAGCAAGGCTCAGATCAACATGGCAGTGTTGCTATTGTTTATTAAAGTTTTTCTTTATAATGTCAAAATAAACATGGCTCCAACCCCCACTCACAAACTAAAATGATGTGTATATACAATCAATCAGTGAGAGAGAGCCTCAAATATCACATTCATTTGTATTACTCCACTGTATACATGAATCGCAGCAAAGTTGGTTCCTGTTTCAGTCATGTTCACGTGGGTCAAACAAAAACACCCTAATGATTGGTTCAGTGCTTAATTTACATAGTGAGCGCGAGAAGGGGGGAGGGGGGTATCCGGGGGACTCTGAGGTACAGGAACACATTGAAAAAAAAAGTCTCAAACACAAAGTAGCAGCGCAACAGACAGAGTACACAGCCAAGTAGCCTACTATCTATGGTGCTGAAAGGGACAGCACTCTCCAAAGTGCTGATTAATTCAAAACATTTTAGACCTCACTGCAGTATGCCCACATACATGAGTATAGCTGCAGGGCATACACAAGTCCGAATTTCTTACAGCTTAATTTTCTAGACATCAGTGTACAGCAACATTTTTAGACGTCACTGCAGAACACCCGCCATATGCACACCAGTGGCGGTCAGTGCCGTTTAAGACGAGGGAGGATGATTTTGTTTCTTCATGAGCATGGCCTTATTTCTATTACAGCATATTGGATGACTGTCATTCATATTCCATTCACCCAGTTCAATGTAACAGTGATAGGTTTAAAACTACTATATAACACTCAAATTATCCCTATACCCATCATGAGTTTGCTACAACCTAGCCTATAAATGAAAGTTTACAACGTAGGTGCACACAGGTCGAGATAAATATTTGAGGTGACAGACAGTGACACATGGACAAACAGTGACACATTCAATACTGCCTTGCACACTTGCATGCATCTAGCTAATCTAGGGTGTAATCATTAATCCAACAGTTGCAAACGAGAGTTTCTATTGGACAAATTCACGTATGTTTATCCCCGTTTCGTTCCATTCAAGAAATGTTTTTCAACAGAATCGGCGGAATGAATATACCCCTGATCAAGCTTAAACACAGTTCACTTTCATAGCAGCCACGTTGTATTCCGTCTTGCATCTATGCACTCTCCTCCTCTCACCTTTTCCCTTCGCTTGTGGACTTCAATGCACAACACAGCTATGTGACCAGGCAGAAAAAACCTTTCCAAGCCAAACCTTCATATCATAACCGCTACACACAGCCTACATCGTTGTCACCATATTAGCTAAAGTAACGTCATAGTCAACGTAGCTATTAGAACTAACGTGTTAATAAACCCACTACAATCATGCAGTAATGTTACAGTCAATGTTCCCTCAAATATTTTCCCGCACTGAGCAACTTTCAGGTCTGCTGAGCACAAACCTGAACCTTGGTGAAACTTCTGTGCAACTTCCAGCGCGCGTTTACTGTGAACACTGAGGCTGTACCCGCTTTAAGTTAATTTTAACAGTGGCCATGTAGGCTACTGTGGCTATTTGATAATAATGTAGGCCTACCAGAGTGGCCTACCATCAAAAACAATGGAGAAAATGCATCCCATAACATTTTAACATGGAAATTGCTGTTCTATCATTCAGCCTACAGTAGTAGCCAATGTGTGGTGTTCAATGTAGACCTACGTTTGAAAAAAACATGCAAGGCTTGACATTAACCTGTTCATCCACTTGTCCTTCAGACAAGGAGGTGACTGAAAATGCTGTTGTGTTGTTTGATGCAAGAAACCACTTTACAAAATAAAATGCATTATTATTCTCATACAATTATTACAGAGAATCAGACAAATTATGCTGCCCTCTGCCTATAGGCTACTTAGCTTATTCAAACCTGTCTCAAAATACAAAACTGCCCCTTTAAGACAAAAACAAAGCTCTTTACCTGACACACTTTTCAAAGGTGTCTAGAAATGTAGACGTTTTGTGCCCTTGTAGGAAGCCATCACTCCCCTATTGCTGACTTCAAATGATCTATAACTGGGCTAGTAACTCACTAACTAGCAAAAGATAGGAACATAATGTGCACGTGGCTACATGCAGCTCTCGCTTTGATCCCAAAACAAACATATCAAAACAAGTGCTCATGCTGTAAACACAGTCCAGTTCAAAGTAAATGGCACAGATCCATATATGGCAATGGTCTATTTGCATACTGCAGCTCTGATTGTTTATGCCGCACCGGTCAGAGTAGTGCGTGTCAATGCAATAGAATCCTACTCCGATGCGTTCAGCTTACAAAAAAATATCTTGCAAAGTTTGTTTTGTTTTGGTATGTTGCATTGAAAGTGGCTAATATTGCGTTAATTCGATCACAATTGCCACAGTAATGGCAAACGTTGATAGTGTTAACAGGGAAAACTCTAGAACAGTCGTCACCAACCTTTTCTGAGTCAAGATCACTTTCTGCGTCAAAATGCAAGCCGAGATCTACCGCTCAACCTATGCAACATTAACCAATTAAAAACCGTACTGTAGCAATGAGGTTTGTGCAGTAAGCTATAGGCCCAATACATTATCACCGCATTTGGGCTTTAACTATGGTGAGCCAAATCTGTTTTTAGCTGCTAGTTTTGTATGTTTTTAACTTGCTCTGCTACTGCAGTTTTAAATACACTTTTAAAAAATATAAACACAACATGTAAAGTGTTAGTCCCATGTTTCATGATCTGAAATAAAAGATCCCAGAAATTTTCCATATGCACAAAAAGCTGATTTCTCTCAAATTTGGTGCACAAATGTCTACATCTCTGTTAGTGAGCATTTCTCCTTTGCCAAGATAATCCATCCACCTGACAGGTGTGGCATATCAAGAAGCGGAATAAACAGCATGATCATTACACAGGTGCACCTTGTGCTGGGGACAATAAAAGGCCACCAAATGTGCAGTTTTGTCACACAACACAAGGCCACAAATGTCTCAAGTTGAGGGAGCGTACAATTACATTTACATTTTAGTCATTTAGCAGACGCTCTTATCCAGAGTGACTTACAGTTAGTGAATACATATTTTTTTATACAGGCCCCCCGTGGGAAACGAACCCACAATCCTGGCGTTGCAAATGCCATGCTCTATCAACTGAGCTACATCCCTGCCGGCCATTCCCTCCCCTACCCTGGACGACGCTGGGCCAATTGTGCGCCGTCCATGAGTCTCCCGGTCGCGGCCGGCTGCGACAGAGCCTGGATTCGAACCAGGATCTCTAGTGGCACAGCTAGCACTGCGATGCAGTGCCTTAGACCACTGCGCCACTCAGGAGGCATGCTGACTGCAGAAATGTCCATATGAACTCTCGCCAGAGAATTTAATGTTCATTTATCTACCATAAGCCGCCTCCATCGTAATTTTTGAGAATTTGGCAGTACGTCCAACCGGCCTCACAACCGCAGACCACGTGTCTGCGTCGTGTGGGTGAGTAGTTTGCTGATGTCAACGTTGTGAACAGAGTGCCCCATGGTGGCGGTGTGGTTATTGTATCGGCAGGCATAAACTATAGACAAAGAACACAATTGCATTTTATCGATGGCAATTTGAATGCATAGATATACCGTGACGAAATCCTGAGGCCCATTGTCGTGCCATTCATCTGCCGCCATCACCTCATGTTTCAGCATGATAATGCACGGCCCCATGTCGCAAGGACCTATACACAATTCCTGGAAGCTGAAAATGTCCCAGTTATTCCATGGCCTGCATATTCAACATACATGTCACCCATTGAGCATGTTTGGGATGCTCTGGATCAACGTGTACGACAGCGTGTTCCAGTTCCCGCCAATATCCAGCAACTTCGCACAGCCATTGAAGAGGAATGGGACAACATTCCACAGGCCACAATCAACAGCCTGATCAACTCTATGTGAAGGAGATGTGTCGCGATGCATGAGGCAAATCATGGTTACACCAGATACTGACTGGTTTCCACGCCCCTACTTTTTTTGTTAAGGTACTGTATCTGTGACCAACAGATGCATATCTGTATTCCCAGTCATGTGAAATCCATTTATTTCAATTGACTGATTTCCTTATATGAACTCTAACTCAGTAAAATCTTTTGAAATTGTTGCATGTTGCATTTATATTTTTGTTCAGTATACATTTAGTACCTTTTAGGTGTCAGAGTAACGGCCAACTCTCTCACAGTAGGATTAAGTGTCAGTGGACAGGTGGATTTCTGATCCATCCTGTGCCGTGGAAGTGTTGAGGAACATGCAAATCACACTTTTGAATTGATAGAGGAAAACAAAATACAGGGAGAGATATGACAAGCAGACACATCAACAGAGGATCATGACAAGGTTGCTTCAGGAACTTTCAGCATAAGATTATCGTAATGAATGCGCCGAATACAACAGGTGTAGACCTTAGCGTGAAATGCTACAGGGCCAAGAGTTTTTCCTGACCACATAACCTGACCATGGAAAACTCCTGGCCCTATGATATACAAGTATCAATGTAGAAACAGGAGTCTTTCTATTGACCTACTAGGAGGATAAAAAGTCTCACATTAGTTGTCCTATCTAGAAGTCACCCAAGAGCCCTACATTGCAAAATAACATAGATCATTAACGTGCTGTCACCAGATGAATTTTATACCCACAGCCAGCACTTGGGCCAGGAGCTTTTCCAGTCCATGAGGCCTAACCAGGAAAAACTCCTGACTACACTCATGAATGTCTGGACTGTTGTACTCAGCTTTCTCAGTCTTTCTCAGAACTAACAGTGATCCAAGTGGCATTTGCTAGTAATGTAAACCTGTTAGTAACCCGACCCTCCCATACAGTACCACCCTCCAGCCTCATGTCCACCAGATCCGTCGGAACGCAAAGAGTTTGACGCAAGTCATTAATTCTCAATGGAGCAGTCCGCAACGCTGTGTTGGGGATGCCGCACTAAGCTGTGGTGTGTTCTGTGTACCGCATGCATTCAATATTTTCAATTTATGTGTTGCTTTACCGTGCGGTGGTATAAACAGAAGTCCATAAACAGTCAAGCCAGTTAGCTAGCTATCTAACTACAAAGCTAACCACTTTGCTAGATACTTAAGAAATTCCCAGAACGTAGCTTCCCATTACCAGCTAATTATTTCATATTCAACTGACTAGGTAATCAAATCGTATTGGCAATGTGTCTCCATGGAGGTCCCGGTAGCAATCGGCGCTTTGATCGTACACTGCAGGGAACCAAGAGACAGCGAAAATGACCTTCTCCATGCTGCAAAACTTTCTGCAGCCTTGCGAAGCACATGTGCGTCAAGTACAGAAAATGCGGACTAGACATCCACAAAAAACAACATATGGGAAAACGAATGTGCATTTGGTGGACGTACGGGACCTACTCACTATGCCACACACACACGTGGCAATCTAGATAAGATACACTCTAAGAGATTGACATTTGTTAGATAAGATACACTCTAAGAGATGGACATGTGTCTTCTGCCCCCCCCCCCCCCCCAATATCCCCCTCCCCCAAAAAAATACACACACACACATTAGGTTGTAGAGGCTGGAGCACAGGGCAGTCCCAGTACGGTGCCTAATAAGCAGTATGTGGCAACATCCATCTAGGCTAGTGTATATTTAGCCTGAACTATTTGCATTGCTATATGAGGCTCATGTTTTGAACAGGCTAAAGGCCACGTCTGGTTGGTGAGAAACACACCGGGCATTGAACGTCAGTTCCTGGTCACCTGCAGTTTGTGTGTCCCTTCACACGTCCTCAATGATATCATATACAGTATAGCTATGGTTGTACCCTCAATGATATCATATACAGTATATCTGTGGCTGTACCCTTGTGATCAGACACACTATCTCTTCACAAAACTGGACCACCAGACATAAGATACAGTAGTGGTAAACTATGGTGCTGTATAAACAGCCTGTCTGGCTGTTGCTTTTCTGAAACACAGTTTGAACCGCAGCAGAACTGAAAATTACATTTAGAATAAGATAAACAATACTCTTTGTTTCAACCATTATCGTCATGTGCTTATTGGCTGCTTATTACATTTGCATTAGCCTAACTCTTGATATATTCCTGAGGACTCCTGCACAGGTTAGGGAACATTAAAATGACAGCTAAGGGATCAAGGGTCTAGATACAACAGGTCATGCAAGTCCTCTGTAGCTCAGCTGGTAGAGCACGGCGCTTGTAATGCCAAGGTAGTGGGTTCGATCCCCGGGACCACCCATACACAAAAATAAATGGCATATTATTATTATTATAAGTACAATGGAAGGTAAGAAGGAATACATTATTTAAAGATTGAATTAATGTCGGGAAGGTGAGGAGCAAGGAGGCAGTCACTAATACAAAAGGAGAGGGGAATGAAAACGTGGTCAGTAACGTACCCGTGCATTGTCAGATAACGCATCAAACTCGACCGACCGTTGTTGTGGAGTTTCATTCTCTGTTTCTGTTTCATTCTATGTGGAGAGGTAGAGAAATTAACTGTTTAATATTATCAACTTAACCATACATGAGGAGCAGAGCAAAATATTCATTGGGATTGACTATGTTGGTGTTGAACATTCCATGAAAAGGGAATTATCATCTTATTGCCAGTAGAATGTGTTTTGAAATTTGCTTCCAACATGGCGACCCATAAATTCTACATCTCAAACAGTCTGCCGTACTCTGTCTGATGAGGGAGTGCTATTAATTTCTCCCCATCAACCCCACTCTACAGGCTGGCCTACTGGATCAGAAGGCCAGGGGTCGCGCCGCGTGCTGTGAAAGGGTTGTTTACATATGTCATCATCATGTGAGGTGAGAGCTGCTCTCTGGGTACTTCCTGTTCTGAGAGTACACAGACGAAGCAGCTGACCTGCTGCTGTCAGCCACAGAAATGCACATATGCACGCACGCACACACACACACAGAGAGAGAAAGAGGTCCTTCTCCTTATAAGGCAGAGTTGTTCTGACCACATCTCTAGCAGTAAGAGCGAGAGTTCAGCATTTTGCATACTGACAATAGAGCAATACAGTACATGGCAACATGTTTCCCAGTCAGCTGTTGCCCAGCAACCCATGGTCCTTTCAGAATCTTCTAAACCCTGTGCATATTGCACCTACACTACTGCTGCTCACCTTGTAGGTGAAGGAGTTTCGGGGGGAGTTGGACAGCTGCTTGCTGTTGACCAGGTTATTCAGATAGCCACAGATGTCTTTGGCCTGGCTGACAGGGTCGTCTGTGATGGGACAGATGTAGTAGTCGTCCTCGTCCTCGCCGCTATCGTTAGCGTTGCTAAGGGACGGAGCACGTTGACCGGGGGTCCTCTGTTTCCCCAGGTTATGCTGGGCACTGCCCACCTCCTCCATACTAAACATCAGGTCATCCTCCATGGTGGCTTGTAGGGGTGTGTGTGATGAGTACTGGGATGGGGAAATGCAACAAAAACACACAAAGATTTGAATATGCATGTACACACAGAGACAGACTGACAGATGGCTGTATTGAATCAATGACAATCCAGCTAAGTGTGTTTTAATTGTGGCCTATTCAATCAATCACAAATGCAACAATCAAACTGTCACATGTGGATGACCGTATTTGGTGAAGTCTTACATTGCATGCAGGAACACTTGTTTAGACAGCAAACTTGTACAACTATTTTATAAAGTAATAATTATTACTACACGCATTACCATTGAGCAAAAAACTGCAGCTGAACTGTAGTGAGGAAGGCTCAGGGCTCACCCATCAATCACACCTGTCAATTCACCGTTTCAATTTTTTTGTAAAGAGCTGGGGCTTATAAAAACATTTGCTGCAGTGCATTTAGAGTACATGAGTAAAAATAGACAGTGCTGCGGCTGTTTACCTAATCTGATCAAGGGTGGACAGAGACTACTCCATGAAAGTATGCATGCGTTGATAATCCTCCACCAACTTCCTCTGTCTGGCGGTAATTGCAAAGTTTTCAGGGAGTTGAGTTGCCTTGCTTGCTTGCTAGTTTTTATTCCAAGTTAGAGGGTCGCTGCTGGACTGTGGTGGATCCTGGCTCTCCGAGGTGGCCAGAGGGTCCGGGGCGAGTCGCTCTTCTCTCTGTAGTTTTGTATGTTCCCTGGTTCACCCGTCCAGCACCGCGGCGTACACGTATCGTTTACAGTCTCAGACAGCCGCACCCCTTTAGGCAGCGAGCCAAAAAATAAATGTTTTATGTACATACGTATATTTGTGGCCACTAAAATGAAATTAGTAGAGTTTGTCACAGTTGCATGAAAAATACATTCCATGCCACGTGGTGAAAGTGCATATCCAAAATCTAGCAAACTCTTGAAAGTCACTCTCACGGCCATACAGATGAAATGGTTAGTGCTACCCGGGATCGTTGGGACGTCCCTACCCTAGCCAGAGAAGCTTCAGCGTCCGCATGCTTCCCAGCCGAAACAGTTCGGAAGAGTTCGTGCACATATCACGACGATATTTTGTGTCGTTTAGTTCGTTTTTGACTTCAGTGAGGGGGTTTTCGGCTGTTCGGGCACACGACATATTTTCTAGAGGCAAGCCTAAATTCGGAGCCGAAGTCTACGCCCCTTCGTCGGTGATTGGTCAACAGTAGGAATTCTTCAATAAAGTATTTGTTGTCGTTCAACGAGAGACGACTCGTTTCATGCAAATGTTTTCATTGAAAAATACTGCACCAAACATCTTAGTTAGATGTAAAATTGCGGGACTAAGATATCCTCGGCAAAAACGTCAAAATTAATGACAGATTTCTTGAGTTATTTTAGATTGTCTGACATTTGAGGAAGCGTATACTGACTATGGCGTCTCAAAATGGACAAACAGTAATATTAACGCTTTTTTCTTCTTCTGCTTCTTCTTCTTCTTCTATGATATAATGGTGGTCCGCAAACCAACGTTAAAGGTGCATGCCGCCACCTACTGTGCTGGAGTGTGTGGTCAATCACGGTTTACAAAATGTTCGTTCTAACTCAGTACTTCTGAGAAAATAAAAAGAGCCCTACTAACTTCTAATATACCCTCCCCCATCCCCAAAATCCCTTCCAAACCCCCCCCAACCCCGTCCAACCTCAATGACCCTACACTTACATTTACGTTTACATTTTCGTCATTTAGCAGACGCTCTTATCCAGAGCGACTTACAAATTGGTGCATTCACCTTATGATAGCCAGTGGGACAACCACTTTACAATTTATTGACTGGGCTGAGCGGGAACTGTGCTTCCGCAGAGGTAGGGGAGCCAGCAGGCCAGAGGTGGATGAACGCAATGCCCTCATTTGGGTGTAGGGACTGATCAGAGCCTGAAGGTACGCAGGTGCCGTTCCCCTCACAGCTCCGTAGGCAAGCACCATGGTCTTGTAGCAGATGCGAGCTTCAACTGGAAGCCAGTGGAGTGTGCGGAGGAGCGGGGTGACGTGAGAGTACTTGGGAAGGTTGAACACCAGACGGGCTGCGGCGTTCTGGATGAGTTGTAGGGGTTTAATGGCACAGGCAGGGAGCCCAGCCAACAGCGAGTTGCAGTAATCCAGACGGGAGATGACAAGTGCCTGGATTAGGACCTGTGCCGCTTCCTGTGTAAGGCAGGGTCGTACTCTGCGAATGTTGTAGAGCATGAACCTACAGGATCGGGTCACCGCCTTGATGTTAGCGGAGAACGACAGGGTGTTGTCCAGGGTCACGCCAAGGCTCTTTGCACTCTGGGAGGAGGACACAACAGAGTTGTCAATGATGGCGAGATCCGTGATGGCGAGATCATGGAACGGGCAGTCCTTCCCCGGGAGGAAGAGCAGCTCCGTCTTGCCGAGGTTCAGCTTGAGGTGGTGATCCGTCATCCACACTGATATGTCTGCCAGACATGCAGAGATGCGATTCGCCACCTGGTTATCAGAAGGGGGAAAGGAGAAGATTAATTGTGTGTCGTCTGCGTAGTAATGATAGGAGAGGCCATGTGAGGATATGACAGAGCCAAGTGACTTGGTGTATAGCGAGAATAGGAGAGGGCCTAGAACTGAGCCCTGGGGGACACCAGTGGTGAGAGCACGTGGTGCGGAGACAGATTCTCGCCACGCCACCTGGTAGGAGCGACCTGTCAGGTAGGATGCAATCCAAGAGAGTTGGCTAAAGACGGCACGCTCAAGAGTTTTGGAGAGAAAAGAAAGAAGGGATACTGGTCTGTAGTTGTTGACATCGGAGGGATCGAGTGTAGGTTTTTTGAGAAGGGGTGCAACTCTCGCTCTCTTGAAGACGGAAGGGACATAGCCAGCGGTCAAGGATGAGTTGATGAGCGAGGTGAGGTAAGGGAGAAGGTCTCTGGAAATGGTCTGGAGAAGAGAGGAGGGGATAGGATCAAGCGGGCAGGTTGTTGGGCGGCCGGCCGTCACAAGTCGCAAGATTTCATCTGGAGAGAGAGGGGAGAAAGACGTCAAAGCATAGGGTAGGGCAGTGTGAGCAGGACCAGCGGTGTCATTTGACTTAACAAACGAGGATCGGATGTCGTCAACCTTCTTTTCAAAATGGTTAACGAAATCATCCACAGAGAGAGAGGGGGGGGGGGGGGGGGGGGGGGGGGGGGGATTCAGCAGGGAGGAGAAGGTGGCAAAGAGCTTCCTAGGGTTGGAGGCAGATGCTTGGAATTTAGAGTGGTATAAAGTGGCTTTAGCAGCAGAAACAGAGGAAGAAAATGTAGAGAGGAGGGAGTGAAAAGATGCCAGGTCCGCAGGGAGTCTAGTTTTCCTCCATTTCCGCTCGGCTGCCCGGAGCCCTGTTCTGTGAGCTCGCAATGAGTCGTCAAGCCACGGAGCAGGAGGGGAGGACCGAGCCGACCGGGAGGATAGGGGACATAGAGGGATGTAGCTCAGTTGGTAGAGCATGGCGTTTGCAACGCCAGGGTTGTGGGTTTGATTCCCACGGGGGGCCAGTATAAAAAAAACAAAAAAACAATTGTAAGTCGCTCTGGATAAGAGTGTCTGCTAAATGACTAAAATGTAAATGTAAAATGTAGAGTCAAAGGATGCAGAAAGGGAGGAGAGGAGGGTTGAGAAGGCAGAATCAGGAGATTGGAGGGAGAAGGATTGAGCAGAGGGAAGAGATGATAGAGGAGAGGAAGAGGAGAGAGTGGAAGGATGGAAGAGGAGAGAGTAGCGGGAGAGAGAGAGCGAATGTTGCGACGGTGCATTACCATCTGAGTAGGGGCAGAGTGAGTAGTGTTGGAGGAGAGCGAGAGAGAAAAGGATACAAAGTAGTGGTCGGAGACATGGAGGGGAGTTGCAGTGAGATTAGTAGAAGAACAGCATCTAGTAAAGATGAGGTCAAGCGTATTGCCTGCCTTGTGAGTAGGGGGGGACGGTGAGAGGGTGAGGTCAAAAGAGGAGAGGAGTGGAAAGAAGGAGGCAGAGAGAAATGAGTCAAAGGTAGACGTAGGGAGGTTAAAGTCACCCAGAACTGTGAGGGGTGAGCCATCTTCAGGAAAGGAACTTATCAAGGCGTCAAGCTCATTGATGAACTCTCCGAGGGAACCTGGAGGGCGATAAATGATAAGGATGTTAAGCTTGAATGGGCTAGTGACTGTGACAGCATGGAATTCAAATGAGCATAGGCTGAGATGAACTCTGCCTTGTTGACCGCAGAACGGCAGTTCCAGAGGCTGCCAGAGACCTGGAACTCCACGTGGGTCGTGCGTGCAGGGACCACCAGGTTAGAGTGGCAGCAGCCACGCGGTGTGAGGCGTTTGTATAGCCTGTGCGGAGAGGAGAGAACAGGGATAGACAGACACATAGTTGACAGGCTACAGAAAATGGCTACAATAATGCAAAGGAGATCAGAATGAAATGAACTAAACATCTGGGAAAGCGAGAGAGCGGGGCCTCCCTCACTTACGTTTCACTGAAACACCCAAATATAACTCTCCCAACTTCCACCTCAGAAACTATAATTGTTGTAAACTACAGTGGTTCAATGTTTTCTAGGAATAGACTAACTTAGTTTATTCAGCTAGCTAACTTGGTACAGTATTCTTCCATGAAAAAAGTCCAGGGCACTGAATCCTATGACGCCACAGCCAACTAGCATGCCTGCCTCCAACAACACGGTTTAGCACCAATACTCGGCCACAACAAACCACCAGTGTGTCAACACGCCAAGCAGATCATTCCCTCTCTTCAACATACTTACAACAATATAACAACACATGCTCCACCGTTTCATCGACCATTCACTCCAGACACAAACCATTCACATGCTTGCCAACCAGATGTAATGACGAGTTCAATGTACAATGTCCTAAGCGCAATCGAGCAAACACCACCTCTTCCTTCCTAATCTGACCTTTGAATCTTGGTCCACTGACCTTTCTTTGGAGGGCATATAAATGCCGGCCCTTGTGCTCAGAGTCCCATCTCTGCTGCCACACATCTTTCAAAATGGCTCTGATCTTACATTTGGCCTCACCTCTACCCAGTCGAACATTAATATCAATTATATCTAACTTTTGGCTAACTGGTCTACAATTTCATTCCCTTCCACACCCGAATGTGCTGGGACCCAGCAGAATCTCACTACTACACCCATTCTCTCAATTCTCCATAATAACATTAATACCTCCAATAGCAAGTCAATCCTGGGGCGGCAGGTAGCTTAGTGGTTAAGAGCGTTGTGCCAGTAACCGAAAGGTCGCTGGTTCTAATCCCCGAGCCGACTAGGTGAAAAATCTGTCGATGTGCCCTTGAGCAAGGCACTTAACCCTAATTGCTCCTGTAAGTCGCTCTGGATAAGAGCGTCTGCTAAATGACTAAAATGTAAATGTAAATGTATTAGAATTACCAGATGATAAACTATTCAATACAGACAGAGAATCTGAGCATACTATAATTCTAACAGGTTGTACGTCCTCAACCCACTGGAGGGCAACTATTATCGCCAACAGTTCATCTGTTAGTCTTCTACATATCTGCACATTAAATTCAGGAACGTAAATGCCTGCTCCTGTGCACCCACTATCTGGGTCCTTGGATCCATCTGTGAAAAGCGGTTAAAAAAAACCATAAACACTTCTACAAATGTAATTGTCAACCAGTTTCCCTATATCACTGACTTCTGACCAATCTTTATTTTTCTCTACCAAGGTTAGATCAACAACAGGATCTGGGAGTAACCATGGAGGAACATCCCCTATCACCACAGAAGGGCCAACCTCTAACTCCCTCAAACCACTCTCATCAGCAAGCTTTCCAACTGTCCAACCA